GTAAGGCTAATGTTGCTAAAGCTACCATTGTCTCTGCCTGTTTTCACTGGTGCTGCCTTCACGTGCTACCAGAATCAGCGTAAATAGGAATGTGGTAGTTAAAAATTGAATATGAAAGCAATGTGAAGTCGACCACTTGAGAGTTTCTGACATTTTCAGTGCGTGAGATTGTTTGTTATTGCCCATATGACAGAGCATGAGCTCTTGAAGCGCCGCCTTCTTAAAAGGGGGCTGGGAGCACCAACTAATTTGCATTTAAAGGGACAAACACAAAAACAGCACGTTTTGGCTTATACCCTAAAGTGGCAATTTTAACAAGCTTTAAAAAATGATCTGTGGAATATTTTGAGCTAAAACTTCACATACACACTCTGGGGACATCAGAGACTTATTTTACATCTTGTAAAAAGGGGCATAATAGGTCATTTTTAAGTTGTAGTGTATGTTTAATGGCTTTTATCAAATGAAATAGTGAAATGCTGGTGAAATGACTCTCAGAGCAGCTCTGGAGATGAAGTTCATGTGTTCATGTCCTCATAACGTGAGATGACAGATGCTGAAAACACCACGTGCTCGAGTACGTGTAGACCGGAAACAGCATCACTTATTCACACAGAGACATGCAAAACATGTCTGTGACTCGCAGATTTTTCTAGATTTTTCTTTCTATGCACCTGATTGTTTATATGTAGGCTAAATAAAGAGAAAAAACTGATCAGCCCTATTTAGCAAATGGAATTGCATTTTTTTTTAACCCAATTATTTATTCCATAAAAGTACTAAAAGTATTCTTAAACAGAAATAGAATCATTAAGAGAAAGCGGAACCAGAACTGGAAGGGTTAAAATCGTGTTCCCATCCCTCACATGGGTTGGACTGTGATATACTCACCTGGTTGGATTGAAGGGTTGGTGTTGGTGCTGCCGCTCGACTGTGCGGTGCTACTGCCGGTGGTGGCCGTTACCAGACGCACATAATGGAAGCGGCTGCCCGGCACCTGGATCTGCTGCACATTGGGAGGTGTGGTGAGGGGGATGATGGTCTTAAACTGGGATGTTCCCACTCCTCCCACCGTCTGCACTGGCTTTACAGTCTGTACACAGAAATCAGCATTAAAATATAATGCTGTTGTTGTACACAAATTACATTGTAATACAGGCTGTTATTGCAGAATGGGGCAGTTAAAATCTATATTTGACAGTATAGCAAACTGGTTTGGTTTGTGAGGGCTCTGGTTGGACGTACCTGTGCGGTGGACTGGCAGGTTCCAGCTTTAGCTGGAGAGGTGGCGGCAGACTGTTGAACAGTGAGGATCTGCTGGCCCAGAGCCACGCTGAGCGGCAGCGTCACAGACTTCTGAGGCGAGTTTGGAGACTGACTGGCCATTGAAACCACAGTCAGCTACAGACAGGAGAAACGTGAGGAAGAGGCTGATGTCAGAAACCCGAGTGTGGCCATCATTGAGAAAAAAATTGGCATCACAAAGACAGGCGAATTAAATTGTAATGCCAGTTTTTACATTTAAAAGATTTAAGACCTTGCTGGGAGACTTGAGAGGTGAGATGGCGACTTTGCTGTTACCAGACGTATTCTGTGGCACAGTGCTGACGGTCTCACCAATGGTGAGGTTGCGTGGAGGTGTCACTGGAGTACTCTGGGTAACAACTCGCCCTGTGGATAAAAAAAGGGAATTCAAATTTAGATACCACAGCTGTGCTGTTAAAAGAAAAAGCACTCTTGCTCATGGTATATTTTATAAAGACAGACAGAAGAGTACCAGTCACTACAGGAGCCACTGAAGCTGGGCTGGACAGTCCTTTATTGTTCAGGGCTTTTGTGATGATGAGCTTTGTAATCATCGGTCCAGCTGTAGATACTGCGGGCTTCTTTGTGAACTGTGAGGAGAAATACGATACTTGCCAATTATTTCAGCTGCCCATGATAGACACTGAACAGGAAATAAGATTGTACTTTAAGGTAATTAAATTAACCAATGCCATTTTTCCTTACAGAAAAAAAAAAAAAAAAAAAAAAAAAAAAAAAAAAAAGGCCCCCCGCTGGTGTTAGGGGCCTTTTTTGCCTTTTTTG